TTACTGAACTACTGTTACTAATTATTTAGACCTGTGGTTCTCAAAATGCACTTCCAGGACCTAGCAGTAGACAGTAATCATTTTTTTCGCAGTTGTTACAGCAAATATGACAAAAGAAAGTAGAAAAGAATGAGACATGTTATGATCTTATAACTGATTATATATATATATATATATATATATATATATATATATATATATATATATATATATATATATATACACACACACAGGCCTACCAGGCAGCCCACATTTTTGTTCTAACCAGCTTGCAAAACATAGTGACCAGAGCGAAAACGTAGGCCATCCGGGGGGATCCTCAGTTTGAGAAGCACTGATTTAGACCATTATTTTACTGCAGGAATGAAACGAGGGTTGAAAAGAGGCCTGCATTACCCTTTGTGAAGTCAAATTAATTAAATGTCAGAAATGAAATCACAGTCTCAGACACATCCTTAGTAACATTAATGTCTCACCATTTTAGGTAATTAACTTTAAAACTTAGCCTAAACAACCACACAAAACGCCCTAAAGAGAAAGAACAGTGTTGAAAGAGTGGGAGCAGTGAAGAACATGGGAAAAGTCACTGCACTGCACAGCCTACAGGGAGCTGCTTTCCGTTCACACACACACACACACACACACACACACACACACACACACACTCGAACCTGCTACAGCTGAACTCACACCACTTCCTACCTCCAAAACATAGACAGTGCACTTATCAAACTCAAAATTACACAGCGAGACAGTAATATGAAAACAGTATTTGAAAACAGCAGCTGCCGTTTACACTGTGTAAAAAAAATAATAAAAATTAAAAAAAATAACAAAAAATGGACTAACAGAAAACTTCCAGATGAAATCTCCTTGCATTATCATACACTCAAGAACAATTTTCTTTCTCTTAAATGCAGATATGAGGATTATGACAGCAATAGAACAAACTAAATATAACAAATCGTAGCAGCGGACTACAAGTAAGCACTGTATGTTTTGCATTAGAACTCATTCATTCCCATCAGTGGAACCATCAGTCCTGTAAGTGAATGGTTAGTCTTTGATCACATCTGGACACTCGCATCAGCCAAAGCAGCCTTCTGTCAGTAAAGCTTTTGTTTTTCGTTTGCTTAGAAAAGCAGAACATTCAAACTTTACTTCCTTGTCTGCCTAGCAGCGGTATCTGATTCATGTGCTCTGGATGTAACTCACCCAGAAGCCTCATATGAACACTCAGACATATATTTCATAACTGTTTAAAGCAATATTACCCACAATAACACACACAGAGCCCAGGAAGTGCAAGAGTTCAAAGTCTCATAGATACTGCCACTTCTATGGTTACCATCATGACACGCAAGTTATTACCTGGACAAACAACAATTAAAACCAAGAATACTGTTATTTTGCTCTAAAAAGCAAGCATATTATACTGTCTATGAGATTCACAGAACTGTGGATGTCTTGCTTTTGCAAATTCAGCAAACTGGAATTTGCTTTAGTTTATTTGTGCTTTGTTGAGCTCCATTTGTAAACTGGGATGCGATTAAAAAACCTCGCCACATAATCCAATACTGCTATAATGGCATTTGTGGATTTAATATTCATATGACTCTGAGAGCCACAGAAGCTATTCTGTAGAGCCTGTCAGGGGATTACTGAGTGTGCTTGAATTCGGTGGGCTGAGGGGATGAGGCAAAGTGGGAATACAGGCTTTGGGGAGGACAAACAGAAAATGACGCAACACCATAAACCAAAGCCTAAAGACTCATGCTCACTGTCCCTCTTCTTGTCTGTTGTAAACTCAGCAATACGCACACTCATGCTAAACACACAGGCATTCACACATATGTTTTTTCCCTTTTTTGCAGGGTATTTCCATCGCCCATTGTCAGAGAGTCTGGTGGGTTTCGTCACTCAGTGTGGCCAAGAACTGCCTACACTGACAGGAAAAGGCAGATTGGATAGCATGCAAGGCTGCTAGTTGCAGTATGTAGTTTTCTGGGCGATAAGTATGGGCTGACAACTGTCAAAAGGGTGATACAACAAAAACAGACCTGCTGATAAAGTGGTACGTCTCCAAACATGTAAAGATATCTTGTTGCTTCCCATAAAACTATAAAAGAATTTTTAAGAACAAGAACTTCACAAAATATATTTTTTTTTAACCCAGGGACATCAAAAAGCTAAATGATATTGCAGTTTCCAGACAAGGCAGTTGATTTGCTAGCACTTAACTTGATAAATAAATGTGTTTTTCAGGGCAGACTAATAAAGATGGGGAAAATAAGTGCATTTACACCTAGAGTGCTGGCACAGGTGGAAAATGCTATCAGAAGTGGTTTTCCAGGCATATTTATAGTTCAATTTTAGTTGTTGATTTTTACTTATTTAACACACTGAAACCTTCACATCAAGTCAAACCAGAGAACAGGAAGAAGGAAGAACGGAGTGCATGCATATTATTCTTTTAGCCAGCGCAACTCTAAGGCACAGACATTGGCTAACAGCCCATTCTGCTAAAACCGTTAGCAACAAGCAGCCTGAGAAGATGAAGTGTTTATGTTCATGTTTTCAAAACTTTGCATTTTTTTCATTCTCTGTAAAAACTTTGCAGTCTGTCTGAAAAGATCATACGCCTCTCTGATACAAATGAAATTTGTCCTTCATATACAGAATATGTAACTGCAAAATATCTGTTTTTATATAGTTTTATATAACGAAGAAATCAACATTTATCAATAAATATTTTGATTTATTAATTTTTTTCATAATTACTTCATTCAATCAAGCCCTAAATCTAACCCAACCTTACAATTAACCTTAGGAAACAAAAGCAAATCTTTATTTTCCCCAAACAAATGCTAACCATTTTGCTGAAAATCAGCAATTTCTCCAAAGAGATCAGCCTAGTGTCCATAATTTCTATGTTTCCCATCATCCTGTGGGAATTTGGTAGCACATGGCTAAATTTATGGTCTCTCTCACACACACACTCTCTCGGGGAAACACTATCTTTCCTCCACAGTCTGGCGTTATGGGTAAAAGTTACTACAGCAATAATGTAAGAATTAAACTACTCGTATTCTCACTCTGTCTCTGTTTCTCCATCCTCTTTTCACCCTCTGCAGTGCTCCCGGTGATTCAATCATCTTACATAAGGCCGAGACGAGCTGGAGCCATTGTGAATCCACGCGTGCTGAACAAAGACAGCAAGGCGTACAAGAACCACTGAATTAGTGCTATTTTAGGACTGTCACATTAAGCAGGAGAATGTAAGTGTTCTGAACACAAATACAGCAGGTCAGACAGGGCATCACGCCACACCCCCAAAATAAACACAGCACACGCCTCCCTGCAAGGACATCTGTTAATGGAGAGGGTGTGAGAGTGTGTGAGAGAGAGAGAGAGAGAGAGAGAGAGAGAGAGAGAGAGAGAGATGCAAAGAGACTGTGTAAGAGAAAGCAAGAGGGGGGAGAAAGAAGAGGGGAAAAGAAGAGAGAAAAACATGAGAAGAAGGATAAAGAGAGGGACAAGACATATAGAAGAAAGAAAGAGAGAAAAATACAAAGGAAGACAGACATATAGACAGAAAGACACCACACAAGAGAGAGGAGAGAGTGAGAGAGACAAGAGAGAGAACATGAAGCAAGAGAGAGAAACAGAAAAAAAAGAGAGAAGACCAGCCCAGCCTTCTATTTGCGGCAAGAGAAATCAGCACGATACAAAAACAAGGACACCTTCCAAACCACATGCTGTCTTCTCTGTCTGTGTCATCACAAACCATCAGTGCTGCTGCACATATGCCGTGAACCCACACTGTAAACAAAGACCCCTGATCCAACATGGTCAAAAACAAGTCCTCAGATTTTACACAGGCAAAAACAAAACAAAACAACAAAAACCCCAAAACTCTCAAACCCTAAATTTGATCCAAACAATGTAAGACGAGCCATATTTCCAGAGCAAACCACATTCATTCCACAGACTGTATACAACAGCTGTATTGTCATTCATGGTCTGACAGTGGTCCTTAGTACTAGGCGATACTGATACAGTTCAATATGACAATATTCTCCAAGCATATCAAGTATCAGAAGATATTTTAGTTTGCATTCATAAAGTCAGGCCCTGTTTATACCTGCCATTATCTGTCTTGAGCGATCTGATCACAAGCTTACAGCGAGACTCACACATTGCATTTGTACAGTGACTACTTATGATTGGATTTCATTACCGGAGGAAGGATCCCACACACATTTACCACATTACTTTCTCACAGCGTTTAGTCTCAGTCAGAAATGTGCAAGTTCTAATTTATGTAAATGTAAGGGCTGTTACAAACGCTAAGATCGCTGAGAGTGCTAGTGCAACTTATAAACAAATGAAAGAAGACAAGGAAAGAAACTACTGAGCTGCTTTAACCTCTGCTGTGATGATGCAGTCGATTAGGTGGTCCGTCGTTGCTCTCTGGGATGCATCAAGATGTCTCAGGACTCTTTACCATTCACACTACAAACATTATGTGGTCATATGCATGCCTGACCTCCAAACATGGCTTGAGTGACGATCAGAATGCATTGCATTGGACCCAATTCACACCAGCACAACTGATCCCTTATGACAGGATCAAGATGCGTGCTAAAGCCAAACATGAAGAGAATCCATAATGCCTGAGGGCTGTCAAACTATGCTAAACAAATTAGACAGCATGTTTTGAATTGACTGTTTCATAAACAGACAGAAACCAGATTATTAGAAAGGACACATTTTTTTTTCATTTTTAAAACGTGTTGGACATTTGTAAGTAGCTCAAAACAATCTGAAGCATCCAGCAAATTACATACATTTCATTTAACTTTAATGATCAGTATTTCTAAAACTAAACATCTATACTGTTGTGTGACAGTACCAGTACAGATGATATATCACCCAGCACTGCTGGTCCTGAATAAAAGAGGTGAAGGAGTAGTGAAGGCAGAAAATGCTGCTCTTACCTGAGGCTTGGGCTGTAGGGATCGTGGTGAGCAAGAGGAACAGCTGCAGTGCCACAGCAACCAGAGCGTGTGAGCGTGTGCCCCAAACTGGCGTGTCACACGCTACCATCCCATCGCACATCTTTCAGCCCTGCTGCACAGCTACAGTCCTCTCCGGCTGAACCTAAGGATACACACACAGTTTAAATACAAAAGTTCAACCTCTAGGCAGCGCAGCAGAGCAGAACCTGCTCAGAATCTACCAGCAGATGTTGTTTTACACAGTCCTAACCAATAGCATAACAGCAGAGAATCCATGTCTAAGAGGAATTAACAATTCAAGCAAGTTCTGGCAGTAGACACACTTAGAGGAATAATTTATACATCACACTGCAACTGCAAAACGACTCAAATGTCACAGAACAGAGCCCGTAAGCTACGAGGAAGAGATTCTGCTCAAACATCCTGCAGAGGGAGTGAAAACAGAAGGCAATCAGGACATGAACATTCAGGACTGGTAGTCTCAGGCTGTTTTCCTACTTGGCCTGTGTGCACCCAGGACCGATTCTTAGCTTGTTTCAGGGAGGGGCTCATCATCGCAGGATTTGTTTTTACACAGGAGCACTTCTTCAGAACTGTGGATCATTTTGTGTGCAGTTTTTGCCAAGGGGTCGACAATAGGTTTCATGCATTTATAGTTTTTTTTTTTTCTTTTTTTAAATGGTCTGTTACCTTTGGTACAAACTCTCAAACCACGCTGAACAGCATTCACTGCTGGTGTGTGACATGTATTCAAGCAGGAGCACTACATAAAAAAAACCTTTAGCCAGATAGCTCAGCACAGGCTGCGAGTTCTGTAGGACGCTCTACATTTATTAAAACAAAGAAGTTCATTGGAACACTGCACTTCTTGAAGATGATTGAAAAGGTGTAACAATTTTAAATCGGTTTTACAAAATGGATAAAGGTTTAAATTTCAATATACTATTTTGTATCAAAAAATACGCCCATGGCTCTCTTCCAGGTGCCTCTTATTTGCCGTCTTTTGTGGAAACCACTCTCAAAAGTAAAGCTAGCCATCTGGATCAAACCATAGACATCCTACGGGAGTCCTACAAGATCATATAACCCCACTGTATCGTATTAAAAACAAATTTTGAAGTTTGTGTATTGTTACACCCCTACACTCTTAGAAAAGAGGGTTTCCAGGGTTTTTAGTAAAGAAAATGGCTCTATATAGAACCATACACAATCAAAGAACCCTTTGGATTATTAAAGGGTGCTTGCATCGTGAAATGGTTCTTCAGATTGATGGAGAATGTGTTGTATATGGTTATATATAGCACCAAAAAAGGTTCTGCTATTGTTATGATGTCAAGCTTGTAATTATAGAAGAACCCTTTTTGGTGCTATATAGAACCCTTGGAGAACATCTTTAAGTAGTACTATATAAATAAAGAAGAGGAAAGATTTAAAACAGGTACTAACATTACAAGATAAACCAATCATATTAGTCAAAACGCCTGGAGCACACAGTTTTATACAAAATGCTGACCGGTTTCACAAGCTGATGCCAGACCCCTGTTTTCAGTAGGGTCAGGGATCAGTTCTCTGGACCACATGGGGGCTCAGAAACAGCTTAGTCAACTGACCAAACGTACCAAACTCTCAGTGCAAACAGTTTCTGTTCCAGAAAGAACTTTACGTGTGAAAACACGTATGTAGAGGTGGCCATATTTATTTTGTCAGTTATACTTTCTTCGATATACATAAGCCTGTACACATACACACATTTTCATGATTCATCCAAAACAATCTGATGAGAAACAATCTGGGAATCAGCTGCCTGCTCTGCAGATCGCAGGGCAAGATAGTCGCTGAATACTAAAGTTCACGTCACCAGCGGTTGACATACTTGGCCACACTGAGTGACAAACGCAACCACACAACAGGCAGAAGTGTGGTTGGCAAGATTACGAAATAAGTACAAGTTGCAGCATATGTGCAGTTACAAAATCATTCAAATCAAATATCTTACTTTGCTTCTGCGTTCCTCACGTCCTGTAAATGAGTTCTGCAGCAATAGCTGTCTATCTTACCCACTGAGTAATCAGCTGGTTTATATCCTCTTTTTTCTCTCTCTTTCACTTCCTCTCTCGGTCTTTGATAGTGGCTGACATGACAGCATACTGAACAGGTGTCCGCTACCTATAGCAACAGTGTTTATAGTAAAAGCAACATTTTAATTTCAGATTATTGTCTGTGAACTCAATACTTGAGTATAAAACATTGTTGCAAAGAACTCAAGTAACCACTATTCACCTCATATTACTACCGATATTTCCTGATATACACGTTTGCTAGTCTAATTCACCATCATGCACCACCCACAAACCTGTACGGTATGGTATGTAAATACTAGCAACTGTTCCAAGGCTGGACAAGTTTTACAGAGCAGTGAGGGAGAAATGCCCTATCCAACCTAATGTCCCATTCAAGCTGATGTATACAGTTGGAGTTTGGAGTCGTTACAGTGTAGTTAAAAATGTAATGCTACTCAGCTGGACTATGTTGTATGTTGCAGCTTTTTGAAACTAGGCAGTTTGGAAATGACAATGAATGTGATATAATGCCAAGGTTAGCTTGACTACATGAAAAAAAGATAAAATACATTTGATCTATCCTGAGACTGTGACCTTTCATAGGCATAAGAAATTAAGAAACGCATGTATGACACGTGAGTGGATCATGGATAGGCCAGTTGCCTTGAAGCTAGAATAAAAGAACTAATCCAAATTTCATTTAAAATATGTTAAACAGATCTGTTGATCTTTTGTGGCAATATTCATAAAACATATCTATAAAGCAGACACAACATTTTACATATTAAACACTACTTCGCAGTATTGATAAAGTTCAAAGTATCCTAATATGAAATGATATTTAAATTTGTATCAAGTCAACGATTTCATGCTTCCTAGGTACTGGTACTCTGCGTACCATCGCACAAATGAGAGGCAGGTGCGGTGTAAGTAATTAAGGGATTGCCAATTGTCAGCATTCCTTCTGCTGCAAGCGACAGGAGAGCATGGAGCATGTGTGCGGCCAAGGCTGCTGAAGCTCAGATCAGTGTGATAGAGCACCTCCTACAACGATGCCAGTCTGGTGTTCCCACCACGCTGTCCACTCCGCCGCAGGAGGCCCACAGAGAACAAGACGTGTGACGCAAGTTGCGCTGGCACAGAGTTCGCTTGCTGCCACATTCTCTCTCAAACACACACTTGTACTGCAGTCTGCTCCAGTCCTGCTGCCTAAATTGTGTGTGCATGCAGAGCTAAAGCTAACATTTTAATCTAACAACAAAAAGTTGGCTGCTAAAGCCATGCACAAAATGCATCTTGGTGAGATATGATGTGTCTCCAAAAAAAAAAAGCAATGAAGAGAGTCATTAAAGTAAATGAGTCATAAACAGCCCAAATGGCAGAAGCTTTTGTTCAGGGAGAGGTAACAAAGCCACAAACAGACGACAACACAGCTGGGATATAATTAGTCATTCATTTCTCAATGTTATTTTACAGGAACACAATCATACTGCAAAAAAAAATCATTTTTTTAACATCAGGAGGCTACCTAGCCAACAAGATGAACTCTACACCTCCAATTTTCCATAATGTTCAATTTCTTTTATCCTGTCCTGTGCACTGGGGAAAAGCAAGTGAGGACCTGAATGACAGAGAGCTCTTAATAGCACAACCAAGTGTCACAGGAGCAACACATTTCATAACTGTTTGATGGAGGGAGAAAACGCAAGACGTCAAAAGAAACTGTCAGATGTGGCACTAAAAGGAGAAGCACAGCTCCAGTCATCAAGTCCAGAGTTTCTATATAAAATTTGTGTGAGGGGGAAAAAGAAGCTTTTGTAGTGCTTACTGCTGGAGTAACACACTAGCGAGAGAGAAAGAGAGAAACAGAGATCTGGCAATAAGTGCACAAGTCAGAATGATTAAGAAAGGCTCTTTTGTTGCAGCACATTTCAAGGTGTGAAAGCCCACAGGGTTCAGTAGTACGAGACGGAAAAGCAGCTGCCACACATTAGGGCCTAACTGATACATTCAATATTAAGGTTAGACATTCGATGTTGAGGTTAGTGACGCACCAATCCAACATACCGAACTGATATGAACAGTAGGGCTGAACAATTTAACACATTTTTTTCTAATTGTGATTTTTCTGACCAATACTGCGATTTACACATGACTGTTTTCTAAAAATGAAGCTCCAGGCCTCATTTTTACCAAGGAGGGTTTTTTGGGCCTGAGGCTTGAATCCTGTTGAGTGCCTGAGTGCCAGTTCATGAACTCAGCATTATTAGGTTAAATTTTTCTACTTAAAATTTAAGAATAGGACTGCATACCAAAATGTAACACTTTTATGGTATTGCCCAAAATACATTCTGGATTGTTCAATACCAAATTTCAAGTAGCCAGTCTATTCCAACAGGCATGCTTGTTCCAAAATCTAGACTGTTGACTGGCCTGTTATTTATGCCAGGGCTTCTTCATTACTCTGCAATGTATTACGGCTTTTAAATATACCCATTTGCAGCACGGCACACTCATTTCTAGTTTAAGCCACACCCACTTTTGGTTTGTAATGAAAAGAAAGTATCAGTAATGATATAGTTATCAAAACATTTTAATGACACCCAAACCTAGCTAAGAAAACTTTGAATAATCTAGGATATAGTTAAAATGGAAGCTCTTGCAATTTGAAAATTACACTCTGTCAAAGTACAACTGATCTAAACATGATTAATCATTCAGCTTTAATAGACATCAGTCCGATGTGACCTATCCACATTCGAAACTGTTTCTTAGTCATGGTCAAGATAAAGTAATATATATATATATATATATATATAATATATATATATATATATCTATATATATATATATAATATATATATATATACACACACACACACACACACACACACACACACGTCTGTAATAAACATACTTTATCCATACATCTGCACAATCCTAAAAAAAATAGTACAATAGCATCTACTGTACACTGATCCTCATATGTTGCTAATGTCAAACACAGATGCCTTAAGTGAGCTCTGGTATTGGATTGGTACACTATATCAGCCCATAGAGACTTCAAACATTGGAATTGGATTGGATTGGATTTGGATGGGAAAATCCTGCCATTAAAACAGGTATTTAGTGTCTTGTTCTATATAATATACAACAAAGCACAAAGACGATGTGAAGTAAACCATTCATTACTAAGGATTCACTGCTCTCATGCTAGGCCTTAAAAAAACCGCTAAGCTGACAATCACCACTTGCACTAACATGTCGGTCAGTAAAGCACCATTTAACTACAACTTTTGGAATCTCAATTTTGCACCATATTAAACTGTATTGGCCAATTTGATTGTAATCATAATTTTTAGGTTGTACCACACTGTTAACACCCAAACTGGTCTGAAAATCCTCCGAAGTGAAATCTTTCAATTTAAACTGAACAAGAGGTTTAAAAAGAGAGAAGTGGGTGAGCCAATGTGGTTCCCTAAAGACAGTAATCAAGACGTAGATCTGCCTTTCAAAAAACCACCTTGCCTCACATAGTGTCTGTCACCTTGTAGCATAATCTTCAGTGTCATTTCCTACACACAGTTACAGCCACATATTGTAAAAACAAAGTGGTGGTTTTAACATTGCAAAGATGCAATCTGAAGACACAAAACATAACACGCAACAGATGAAACTTGATAGTAATCAATATGTTACCTTGGCCTAGTCTGAGCAGTCATTTTAGAAGGACAGAAGTGATACAAAGCAGAACAAGGCTACATCCAGGGCTTGTTTAGACAGGTCTTAAGACTAACACCTTAAAGAATGTTAAATTATTGGTAACCACTCAATACAATTGGTTACTTAAGGTTTCAGACTTGACAATCTATAGAAACGTCTATCATTTGTGACCTTCCAAATAACTTCTGTGAAAAGAGTTCTAAGCTTAATGCAATGAAATTGTCTTTCTCCAGAGGACAGGAAAGGACAGGACTGGAAAGGATAAATCCAAATATGACAGCACAAGAATAAATTTGCTCTTGCATGTTGTATTCCAGCATCATGTCACATGATACTCTGAAATCTTTGAGATGTATTCTGAAAACACAGATGATGTACAAAACATCACCATCAAATTCTTGTAGGCAGTTAACCGTCTTCAGATTTAAATCATAATAACAAATTGTATTTTTATCCATCTTATCCCTACTCCACCAAACTTTACTGCTTGGCATTATGCATTCCAGTAGGTGTGGTTCTCCTGGCATCCACCAAACCCAGATCTGTCCATCAGAGTGTCAGATCGTGAAGCATGATTCATCATTCCAGATAACACATTTGCACTTGAGTCCAGAGTCCATTGGTGGTGTACTTTACACCACTTCAGTTGGCGCTTCATTTCATGAAGCTCCTTATGCACAGTTCTTGTGCTGATGTTGCATCCAGAGGCAGTTTGGAACTCTGTAGTGAGTGATGCAACAGAGAACAGGTGATTTGCACACACTTCGGCACTTGGTGGTCCTGCTCCGCGAGTTTGTGTGGTCTATTGTTTCGTGGCTGAGCTGATGATGTTCCAAGAGACTTCCATTTCACAATAATAGCACATACAATTGACTAGGGCAGAAATTTCACAAACTGGCTTGTGGAAAAGGTGGCATCTCATGACAGTGCCATGTTTAATGTCACCAAGCTCTTTAGTATGACCCATTCTACTGCCAATATTTGCCTATGGAGACTGCATAGTTATATGCTTGATTTTATACACTTGGTTGAAATGGCTGAAACACATAACACTTTTACAGGTTCATATATATCCCATCCATTTTTGGATGGCACTATTGGAAACAAGAATGAAATGCTGATAGGAGCAGATTCTGGTGACCAATTTGTTGGAGCTAATTATTTAGATTGTTGCTTTACCACATCATACCTCATTTGCATAAAGTTGAGAAAATCCAAACTCTGTTCTTCTGTTGCCTGCTAATGTGAATACATGGTACATTTTTGCCATGTTGTTTAAATCTTGCTGATGTCAAGACCAAAAAAGTCATTAATAATTACTGCATTGTCAGCAATATGCAGACCAACACACCAGGCTCAAATTCTTTTGCCTGATGAGCCTTAGCACCTTCCTCAAGTATGATCTGGTTTACTAAGTTGACAGAACATCATTCCAAGAGCACAAGACCTTGACATTATTTCAAAGAAAACAAGAATGTACTGTTCAATTATTTTAACAATGGTTTAACAAAGTCATGCGGCTGTATAATCAAATATAGTCTACAAATGCGAAATTGCAAGCATATTGCATTTTGAAATAAATTCTGAATTTAATGCATGCAGTACAAACAAGTAAAAAAGTTCAACACAGAATCTTACCATGGCGATGTACTATGGCTCAATTTTTTCAAACCCTAACATACCATTAGTAAATAATGTTAAAGTTTGTTTAGAACCAAAGTCATGTGAGTAACATATACAATTTGAAAGAACACTAAGCTTTAGAAGAAAACTGAAAAATCCTCAAGATTATACAACTGTCACTATGTCTACTAAATGAAACATCTGCAGCTAAACAGTTTAAATGTATGCTGCTCTTCTACAGAAGGCACCAGGGTGCTTAACTATGTCAAACACAAACTACAGATAAGCCCAACTGTACTAAGCTGACCTGCAGTAGTGAGCTTCACTATATGTCCTTAATAAGTTTGTTGACTAAGTTGTCTTTTTTTTTGGGAGTTTGTTCCCCCTTTGCTGCTGTAAAAGCCTCTGTTCTTATGGATTTGATTGCATTCAGCTAAAAGACATTAGTGAGGTCAGGTACAGATGATGGACGATCAGTTCTGGATCACAAATTTCACTCCAACTCATCCCAAAGGGATGGAGCTCCACAGCCCAATGATGGGGGACTTTATTCCCCTCTAGCTGTCACTTGGCATCAGTCATGGTGACCGTAGGCTCATGTGCAGCTGCTCCGGAGTGCCCCATTCTTTGGCAATGCTTTTCGATGGGGGTTATACAAGCTGTGTGTGCGTAACTAAACACAATGGGTGCACCTTAGAGCATCTGAATTCACTAATAAGAAGCAATGTCTGAATACATTTAGACATACTGAGAACAAAATCAAAAACTTGAGGCTTACTCACAAACCACACTGCTTACAGTCGCTGAGCAAGAGTCTCTGCTGAGATTAGTCCCAAGCATCAGTAGTGACCTGGGGGTATTTCATAAGCAGCCTGATGAGCCCAATGATCTGACAGACTTATGTCTTACTGCAGGGGTGCCTAATCCTGGTCCTGGAGATCTTCCACCCTGGAGAGTCCAGATCCAACACACCTGGCTGTGATATTTAGATGCCCCTGAAGGTTTTTGTTACCTGGATCAGGTGTGCTATATTTTGGTAGTTTTCCAAGACCAGAATTGAGCAACCCTGTCTTAAAGGGCCGAAATCTGATATTTTTCATGCATTTTATTTTTTTTCTTCTTGTGGTACACCTGTGGCGTTTGTATGTTCCTATGCACCAAAACAGTCTTAGTTCATTTTTACATGGCTATTTTCCTACCTCTCTACATCCCTTTAAATTAAACAGGCTGTTTTTTGTTAGTGTGCAGTTAATAAGCTCTGTTCTGATTGGCTGTGTATTCTGCCTCATTCAAAGGCCTTGTTCAGACTGCCAACCCAAATCTGATTTTTGGCCTATCCAGATTGTTTCCATAAATATTTGTGATACTTTGGACAGCAGAAAACCTATTTAGCAAATCAGACTCAAACTACATTTGGAGGGGCTTTGAAATGCGATTCCAACCTGATTTTTACAGATGTGTCTCAGTGTGGACACTCTGGCCACTCAAAACAGATTTCAAAGTGTCTTTTGTGTCACTCGACAAGCAACAACAAACAACTGTCAAATCTAGAGTGTTGGGATTCAAGAAGAGCACCAGTGTAGCTACATAGTTACCGATGCCTACGCCGTTACCACAGCAACCTATGCAGATAGGTTGGTGATGTCTGGGCGCACAAATCTGATATGATTAGTTTCAAATAACAGTGCAGAGAGTCGTCATAAAAGATCAGATTGGAGAACCAAATCTCATTTGCCTGCAGTCCAGGCAGAAACACTCTTCATAACTTCAGAGTGAGTGGGCAGAGCTAAACTGCTATAGGCCGAACAGGTGGATTTATGGAAATTGTTTTTTTTTTGACATCACAAAAATAATGTATTCAAAAACAGGCTGTTTTAACTTGCTTTCCATATATGGGCTGTACTAACTGGAGAATGGTATGTTTTTAAATTTTAACAATGTTTACGTACTACATCAACACAAAAGCAAGGAAAATTCACATGACACTAGCCCTTTAAATCAACCTACTTCCTGAGAAATTCTTCTTTCTTCTTCTACTAAACCAGAAACTCCATCAAGCTGCGTCACAAACTCAACCTAGAACGGTATGTACTGAACCAGGACATCCCCGGGGCTTTTAAACTCAATCTACACTAATGAGCTGCGTACTAAAACCCCTGTGTACTAAGCCTGATCCGAATTTTAGTCACACGTGCGCCGACACGTGCAAACGCTATTAGAGCGACTGAAACAAAGAAAAGCTTACTGTATTCTGCCAAAAGTCACTTATTCGCCATCACAGTGCGCATACATCACGGCCCAAACACAGCATACAGTACCTAAACACGGCCATCTCCCACAAACGTAAAGCTCAGAGTAGTTTGTAAACAGTCGGATCATAACAGGAGAACTGACCATATTTAGACAAGGCACTTTTTAAATCGCCCTTCTGACTCAAAACAGAGTGCACGAGTGACTTTGCTAGCTTAGTGTAAAATGATTCAACTTACATAGAAACAAAAACTCTAAATGCCACCAAGAGGGAGTGAGGTTATTTAACTATCACACTGCAGCGTTAACTTGCACTGAAATCAGCGAAGAGAGACAGACGTTCATACCTTTGTTAAGGCCGGCAGGCTAGCAACATTTACTTCAGCCTCAGCTGATTGTTGTTACTATAAAATATTAAGATAGTCTGTCTCTACTTTGATTAACCTGTCCTATCAACGACAGCTAATGTCAGCAAACCATTCTGAAAAAGCAAGGTTAATTTTAATATTCGCTAAAGCGGCACTAGTTGAGTAGCTAAACATCTGACCAAAGTTAATCGCAAATGCCAACAAAACAAAGTGAGTCTTCATTTCCTCCGTGTTATATGGTATCCGCATTGTTCGTATTTAACTAGCTAAGTTAATGTAGGTGTTAACTGTGCTGCTCGGTGTCTTTGTTTATTGTGAGCCGACAGAGCTAGCGTGTTAGCTTACTGGCTAACTCTGAAAAATATTTCCAACAATTGTTAGCCTAGCTGGGTTAGCTAGCTGGCCGGCCAACGCACACACAAGAATAAAAGACTGAAAATCTTACCAGTGAAAGCCGCCCTCTCCGATCTCACTTTCGGGGCATGGAGCTAATTCGAACGGCTAAAGGTTCAGTGTCTGTATACAGTTTTGACTGGGTAGAAACTAATCGTGTAATGTGCGGTTTTCTTCTCCCTTTAATCATCCGATACCAGCTGCTGCTGTTACTGCTGCCCCAAACTGTCGGCGCTGAGCGGCTCCACACAGCGCTCTGCTCTCCGCTCCGCTCTGTCCACCAGCCGCCTCGCTCTCACTCCGTCTCCATAGGAACAGGGCGGAGTCAGAACTGCGCAGGGCAGAAAGCGTGTTTTTGTTTTCCACAATCAGCTGAACGGAGGAACGGAGCTACCAAGGGCGATACAACACCGAGAGAAAGGGGGTCATTAACCTCTATATTTACAGTAACATACTTACAGTAACACACTCCGTATACAGCAGTAACAAACTTACAGTAACATACTCAGTATACTAACAGTAACGTACAGTAAAATACACTGTGTACTTACAGTAACATGCTGAGTATACAACTGTAACACAGTAACAGTATACAGTAAAATACTCTGTATACTTTTACATTTACATGATAGACAATTTATATCATGATATTTAGTTATTCTGAGTTTTAATAAGATGGAACAGACAAAAAGCACAAGTAGATCCACATTACAATCATTTTTTATTCATGCTTCACATACTGCACTGCACTAAATACACTTAAAAAGGCGGCTAATTATGCTCTCTTTATAATGAATCATGCAGTTGCTGACCCAGAAAAGCGTACTGCATTATAATTTATCATGGTAACAATATTGTCATATTGTCCTCCTAGTAACATACTTGCAGTAATATACAGCAACAGAAACAGTATATCCTCAAATGTGAGTTGACACGAATATTAATCATACTTGTAAGAAAAGCAGTTTACTTTCTCCTCAGTTGCATTTCTTATTTCTGGAATACAGGGCGTTTTGGCACTCCGAGCGCTAGGGGGCAGCACAACAATATTACCACGAGCGCATGGTCATTGTTGCCATATTGAGAGAAACCCCTCATTTATGAAGCCTTTATCTTAGTTATTCTCATACTCACATAAACCATTAGATGTACATCAGAGTAATTTGTTAACTATTTAAATAGTGACTATTTGCACTATTAAATAAGCATCTGATATGAAGTAGAGGTCTTATTTAAGCTTCTGCACTGAAAGCTTCTTGCCATGACATTATTAAATGTCCTCCTGTATATACAATTACACAATAATAATAATAATAATAATAATAATGTGCCCAGGATCTCATCGAGCACATAAAAGGTAATACCTATATCCTTTCATACTTACATCCTTTTACACATTCTGAGTAATCTCAGTAGTTTAGTACTGTACATGCAATAAAGTAAACTACACAACAGTTTCTTGCCTACACTCTGAAACAGAGCAGACTATGAACAAAGTCATCACAAGTGTCAATATTTGAGAATGAATTTAAAATATTTGGTAAAATCATTTCACCTTAACACCAATCAACACTTCCATCATTTAGATGAGGCAGTTAAGGTAAAGGTACAGTACAATACAACAACGTGCAGGATGACTTTAACTGGATGAGGACGACACAGCACAGTTCTCCTGTTCAAGTTAAAGTGAGTGAAAGGTGAAAGTGAAGAGGAAGTGTGTTAAGGAGACAGCTACAGGAAGGACAGAATCCCTTAAAGAACAACTAAACTCTTGCACACTTTGCTTAGAAAGCATGCTAAAGTTTAATTTGAATGTTACAGGTGACACAGACTATTTCATTTCATTCGTTTCATTTCGTGCATGTGTGTATAAACGCATATCCATGCTCAATGCAGTTATCTTTTCTGAGCTGCAGTTTGTAAACACTGTTGTCCGTTGGTGGTCATCAAACGTAATAAATAGCTGAATTTCACTCTCACCGACTTGAGACAGATGCACTGCCCAGCTAGCACATAAACTTGTATTTGTTAAACATTACTGTTATTGGCTGACATCAAGCTAGGAGAGGAAAGAACACAAGTGTACCTGACTGCTGTTCCCACAATTCACTGTCATTGTGAAAGATGTCAAAGTTGTAAACAATGAGCAGCTTTGACATTAGGGGGAGGTGGGGCCCTTGATGGGCTTGCATAATTTGCGGGGGCCTACGCAACATAGTGAGTGTAGGGCTGACCGGCTCTGTCCAAGAGAGCATAATTTGACCTTTTTGTGTGGGCAGAATGACCCTTGCTCTCCCCATCACACAGCGTGATGCTAGACAACATGGGTGTCTATTAGCTGATGGAACAGAAGTGGCAGTTAGTGTTCTCCTCCAAGCGTGCTGAGCTGTCTAATGACATTAGGGGCCGCTCATCACGTCTTGGAGAAAGCATATGCTAGCCTTCGTTCTGCTGGCTTGGTAGTGTTGTGTGATAGAGGGAGACCTAGCTAGCAGGTGGAATTGTATGCGACTAGAAGAAAATTGGCTAAAAATAAATACAAATAATTTTAAAAAGTACAAAGAGGTTTGACAACTTTATGGACCCTTTATGGACAAACCACTGTTGTACCTTTGAGGGTACATTTACATTGTTTGTACCATGATAAAAGAAAAATGCACCTGCACAGAACCTTTATTTCTAACAGTGTATTAACTAGTGGTCATGCCTTATGAAGAAATAATCACTGTGTCACCTTAGTGGCTCCATAAAAATAGAATTCCCTGCTGAAAAAATAACAGAAACCATTACAAGTTTCTGATGGTTCCTGGTGTTTTCCAAGAGTCACTAAAGGTGTTCTGTGTTTTCCTGATGGGTTAATGTCACAGTGTGAAGGACTCTAATGGTTTAACAGGGGTTCTGGGACTGATTCCTAACACATTTGATGGTTTCCTAACGAGATCTAAAGGTCTACAGGAAGTTTTTTTTAATGGTGACCATTAACCTATTGCCTTTAGAAAACTTTGTTCTTATGGTCTTTTTTCATCACTCTATGTATCAGTGTAAAATGTCTAGGGGAGTGGCTTAGCTTGTTTATCTGTGTCAAAAGTAACGCTGCTGTACTAGGAGGGATCTGGCAACTCTGCAGAAAGACAATAACATGGCTTTTCTCCTGTCCCGCTGCTCTAAACTGTCACTGAGAAACGCGCTCATGAAAACCTACTCGGACTCTGCAGTTCGTCTCCGGATTCTGCCGAGCACCACCTGCATGTTTGACGAAGCTGTCGAGATAAAACTGAGCGGTTTGACTCCTCAGCAACGTGTGGAGTTACAGTCCAACCTTCAGGACGACAGAGGAGTTCGTTTCAAAGCTACAGCCACATATCAGGCGGACGAGAAAGGAGAGGTTGACCTGAGCCGTCATCCCTCTCTGGGGGGAACCTACACAGGTGTTGAACCGATGGGTTTGTTTTGGTCGATGCGGCCAGACGTGCCACATAGTATAGTGGTGAAGAGAGACGCGTCGACCCCCCTTAACTATCACATCGAGGCTTCTAGTGGAGGAGAAATCCTCGCTAAGGAGACCAATGAAAGGCACTTTACGGGCCCGGGAGTCCGAAGAGCTCCTGTGAGCGATGGCAGGATACGAGGAACCCTTTTCACACCGCCTGGTCAGTTTGTTGTCAGTTTTAGCTCCAGTCAGGGTCTTTTTCAGCGCCTCCTCGTGGTGAAGAATAAAATTACAAGTTTGATCTTATCAGTCATTTCTAAAATACACTGCATGGCCAAAAGTATCCAGACATCCTTTGTAAATAGTGAAGTATTCAGCTTGTATATTCTCCATAGAGGAGGTCTGCTAATAGAATGGGCTGCACATGAGTCTGAAGTCAACATGCCTGCTGAAAAAAGACCATTAGAACCTGATGGTTTTGCTTTCCAATGGGAATTGTTTCACTAGTTTCCTGTAGGACACCTTTGGATCCTATTAGAAAACCATAAAATGTATCTGGAATCAGTCCCAGGACAACTGTTAAACCATTAGACTGATTTACACTGTGATATCAACCCATCAGGAAAGCAAAATACCATTGGTGGGCATGACTAGGAACTAACAGAAAAACTTTTATGGTTTCTATGAAGCCCCCAGCATTGGGCTGTGGAGCAGTGGATCTGTGTTCTCTGGAGTGTTGTAGTTCCATCCAATACCTCTGAGATGAGTTGGAGTGGAGTTTGTGATCCAGAGCTAATCATTCAACATTACTAGCTGACCTCACTAATGCTTTTATGGCTGAATGCAATCAAACATCCTCACATCATCTTGCCTAAGACCTGTTTAGAAGAGTAGAGGCTTTTACTGCAGCAAAAGGGGACAAACTGCCTGTTAATACCCTTGTAAGCTTTGGATGAGCAGGTGTCCATGAACGTTTGGACACACTGTAGATATGTAAAAAAAAACATCCCATCTACATTTTATGCAACGTGCACCCAAATAAAATCCGTCTCTTCAGTAAAATGGGTGCCACATTATGACTGTGTATAATTTAACTATCAACAATATTCCAGTATAATAATAGCCCTGCAATCTCTGAATATAATCAAGTACTAGTAAAGGGAAGAGGTGAATGGTAAGGTTACCAAAACAATTCTATATGCGGTTCCCTGAATCTGCATGAATCTAAAGACTGATTTCTATGTAATGTGATGTTAATTGCTGTTAATATCTCTTTTACAGGAGAAGGCCCGTTCCCTGCCATTGTAGATCTGTATACTTTGGGAGGCATTCTGTATGAGCCACGAGCAGCTCTATTGGCAAGTAAAGGGTTTGTGGTGCTGGCCCTGGCTCTCTATGGTCACCAGGAAATGCCCAAAAAACTTGATAAGATTGATCTGGAGTACTTTGAAGAAGCTGTAATATTCCTGCAGAAGCTACCTGAGGTCAGTGGAGTAAGACGTTTTGGTAAATTGATTAGAAAATGTCTGTAAAATGTTAATAGGCTTATATATATCAGGTTTGCATGATACTTGCAGGAAATGTAATTCTGCCCAATAAATAGTGTGCAGGATTTTAGGCTTGTATCTTTATTAATGTCTGAGATACACATGTTTAAAAAAGTGGGCGTAGACATAAAATGAGTGCTTGGATAAGTTACTTTTGAACTATTGATGCATAGAGTTTTCAGGGATTATTATTTGGTTTAAGTCTTTGTATTTGGCAAAGTTCTATTTAACTAGTAGGCTGCAGAGACGTAGAAATGTATGTTTATATTTAATAGCTCAATTATCAATATCCACATTATATTTTTATCTACATTCCTTGTCTTTTTTTAGCATTTTATATACCATTTAGGTACACTTATTAGATTTACAATGACAGACAGTGGTCCATCTGCTTCTGTGCATCATTTATTAACTATTCATCAATGGTCAGGACCCCCCACTGGACCACCACTGAGCAGGTATTATATGGATGGTGGATCATTCTCAGCACTGCAGTGACACTGACAGGGCAGATCAGACACAGCAGTGTTAGTGGAGTTTTTTAAGCCACTCAGTGTCACTTCAGGACTGAGAACCAAACATATCCAGCCAACAGCATCCTGTGGCCACAGATAGCTGATGAAGGACTAGAGGATGGCCAACACAAAGTTTTTGTCTCTAACTTCACATCTGCAAGGTGGACAAACAAAATACGTGTGTTTATGTCGACAGTAAGTGGACACACCGCTGCATCTGATCCACTCATATCAGCACAACGCACATTAACACAACACCACCATGTCTGTGTCACTGCAGTGCTGAGAATGATCCACCACTGAAATAATACCTGCTCTGTAGTGGTCCTTTGGGGGGCCTGACCATTGAAGAACAGGGTGACAGGAGGCTAACAAATGATGGATAGAAACAAGATGTAATTTTAGAACCTCAGAGTGCACCTATACAGTAAGTGGAGCTGATAAATTTGACAACTGAGTGTAGATACAAGGTTGGTGTACTTAATGAAGTTGTCAGTGAATGTTTTTGATAAGATTTTTGATGGAAGCGAAATGGATTTTACATATTTAATGTGCTAAAATGTTACAATGAAAGCTATTCTATTTCGGTTCAGTCTTAAACCTTAGAAAGTTAGGCTTTAGGATTTTAGACTTATGAAAAAAGCCAGTCATTTGAGATGTGGGTGTACATATAGCATAGAATACACCCCTCTCCTTTCTTCCCACTTGACTTTGATAGACCTACTTTGATTTTCCTAGATGCAGTTTTAAATTTTAAGATACTGTTTCAAATGTTTATTTTTTCAGTTTCTCGATACTGTATTGAAATTATGGTTTATCTAAGACAGAGGTTTCTAACCCTGATCCTGGAGCACCCCTGCTCTATGAATCACACACTTGATCAAACTAATTAGCTCATTATTAAGCCTTTCCTGAGTTTGAGTGGGTCGCTTAGAGTAGACAAGATACTAAAATGTGCAGGACCTGGACTGGGGAACCTGTGCTCTATAACATACAGTGGTGGCCTAGGAGAGAGGACCACTTCCATCATCTGACAGTCACTAACTTCTATCTGATGTGGAAAAAGCAAATCACTGAATTATTGACTGTTTTCAGGCGTGGATGTTTCTGACTGAATTTGGCTTTACAGAATAAGCTAGAACATATTAATGACTTATTTACATACAAAATACATATTAGTTATGCAGTACAGCATTGTGATTGATTTGTATTTTACAGTATAACTGACATATTAGAAAATGGGCTCTTTTTAATGGTAAAAGGTAATTGAAATATCCAATGTGCTTCAGTGAGCATTTTTAGAGTAGTCCAGTATCTCCAATGTGGGGAAAAAAAACATTAACAAGCCATCAGATGTTATTTGTGCATCTCTTTTGGTCTTTAAACGCTCCATAACCAAAAGGTAAACAAAGCAGTTCCATGCATCTTTTGCCATAGCACTAATTTCAAGAGAAAATTTAGACCACATCTACTTATTAAAGGCTCAGTATCTCAGAAACTAATAATGATTAAAACCTAAAATTTTAAGCAAATCTGAGATGATTAGTCAGGAACTTTTTACCTGAAATCAGGTGGTTTGAGGTGGATTTCCCCAATACTGGTGAATCTAAGCGAAGATCTACAACAGATTAACAAGCTTATTGTGTCTCCCCCCACAGGTAAAAAAAACTGGGATAGGCATAATGTCCATCTCAAAGAGTGGAGAAATAGCTCTGGCAATGGCATCATTCCTGCCCAATGTGAAAGCCACTGTCTGCCTCAACGGCAACATTGCCAATGTTGTGTTTCCACTCCACTACAAAGACATGATCTTCCCACATCTTACAGCACATCTTGAGAGAATAACTGTAACTAAATCAGGTATCTTGGACATCAGAGATGTTCTAGAAGATCCCATGGTAAAGGAGAACCGTGCCAAGGTCATACCGATTGAGCGTGCCAGCAGCAATTTCCTGTTCATAGTGTCAGAAGATGACAGAAACTGGAACAGTGCCTATTACGCAGAGCAAGCTTGCAACATCCTCAAGGAACATGGAAAAACAAACTATGAAGTGGTGAGCTATCCAAAAGCAGGGCACTTCTTAGAAGTCCCTTACATGCCCCATTATTCATCTGGAGTCCACCCTGCAGTCAGCCAGGTGGTGGCTTTTGGAGGAGAAACGAAAGTCCATGCAGACGCACAGGTGGATACATGGAGAAGAGTGCAGGAATTTTTCAGAAAACACTTACAGTGTCCTCTTAAATCTGTGCTTTAGCAAGTTTAATTTAAAGTTTGCCAGCATTACAAAGCATTGTTCTGACATTATTTTCTACCAGTGAGGTAGGCTGTCTATTAAGGGTATTGCCTTACTTTGTTAATTAGATAGAGATAATAAAAGTACAGCAAATATGCTAACAGTGCCTTAAAGGAGATCAAAATACTCAGTTTAGCCTACTGTTCAATAGAGCACACAACGTGTGGTTCATTTCATATCTAAAACAATTTCACAAGATAGCTAAATGATATAGGCATCAAGAGAGGGCTACAATACTACTGTCCCCCTGCAAAGTATTCAGTAGACGCACAGGTGGATACGTGGAGAAGAGTGCAGGAAGTTTTCAAAAACCACTTATGATCTTGTAAAAGCATTGATGTTGCATGATGTATACGGTTGTGCTTCTTAAGGCCACAAGCCTCATTTTACCATCTAAAATTGAAGATCAAAACTTAATAGTTATGCAAACTATTGCTATATTAATATGTCTCGTTTGCTGTTTTTTCACCCATTTTCTAGTTCTGGCACTGAGTGTAGCAGCGAGAGTTGGGAAAGCAAGCTTAAGCTCACAGTCAAGTAAAAGTAATGTTACTTCATTGAAATACCGACTGCAGTAGAAGTGAAAGTATCTTCCAAAAAACTGCTTGTTAAGAAGCACATAAGTACCATGTGTAAGAGCACTACTTTAATGAGTAATCAAAATTTACTAGTTGTGTTTATAGCACCTACTTGTGGAGAATCTTCAGCCTGCTAAATATGATTGAATGAGCAAGCCAGTTCAGACACTTCACATCTAAAGTGTTTCAGTATTGAGTAACTTCTAACTGCAAGTCCTTACTGCATCCAGCATGTTTCAGCATAGCAGGTTTAAAATTATTAGGCTTCTGTTTTTGCTTCTTTTTTTTTTTAAGTAAAACATTTAATGCACAAAATGAGGAGTCGCAGAGCAAAACAGATGCTGTCATCAAGCTAACGTAATGAAATTAAACCAAATTAGTAACAAACGGTAATGATGTAATGATGAATGTGTAACTGAGTAAATTAGTAAACTCCTTTTCTAACATATATACCTGATTAGAAGTGAAAATACTATCATTTCAAAATATTCAGGGAAGTATAAATCCACCAAAATATTACTTTGTATCTAAGCATCTGTATCTGATACCAACAAAGATGCGCACTGTTATTTAGGGATGCACCAATATGGGAATTGTGAGCCTATGCTGATATCATTTTTCTATAATTTTTTATTGATCCTGATATGTAAAATTTATAGAATGTAAAAATTGTGACTACATCTTTCTGAATTCACTTTATGGAGAAATGTAACATGTATTTCTAAAGGGCCACAAAATCAATAAAATAAATATGAGCAAAATATCAGCAGATACTGATATAATTTCAATACCATCATGTTCCCCTTTTTTTACTGCAGTGGGAACAGACTGATAGCGTATTTCTTGTTAACATATAACACATTCACCAAGCCATGTTGCCTCATTCCTGTAATCTGAATGTATTTTTTTTAATTAATAAAGTTATTTGTCTTCAGATATTTCTAAATTGTAATGCAGTCTTCATGACTGCACAGTTTTATGAGATTCATCTGTATGAACATGGTTGAAACTGCTTATTTATGTATTTTCTGTCCGGATTTGTCAGGAAATCTGAGCGCACTCTTTTGCCTGTATGTAGTGCCACTGATGGCTGCTCTTCTGCGTATGAGGATTAACTGAAGAGGTCACTTAACCTGGACTGCTTAGAGGAAGCTGTGAAGAGTCTCGCTACTGATTAGCACAGATGGCCTTTTGCCCCACTTTAGAGCTTTGTGAGCAGTTAACTTGTTTCCCTTAGCTATTATAAAAGGTGAGTCAGTGTCTTTTATTCAGACCCAGATTAATCCAAAACCTAGAGCAAGAAGAATTTGTAATAGTGAATCACCACTGGCGTCACGGTTTAGACCAAGACCAGCCTTTATCCACGTGTGGAAAACTGAACTACGAAGTGGCTGCTCTTTCAAAAAAGGAAAGTCATACAAATGTTACTAAATGCAATGTGAAAACAAGGGTAGATACAGCTTCAACTATGAACCACACTGTTCAAAGATTAACTGACAATCCAGACTGGGTGGATTAATCAATTACTGAGATTCTACGTTTGCTCTGTTGCAGCTGAAGTCTATCTTGTATCAACAAACTTACTGTAATAAACACATTTTTTAACAGAAAATTACACAGAAGCCTCAATAAGTTAATATAAAAGGTAATCTTTTTCAGAATTTAGTGTGTCCTCTCTGCCTTTATTACAGCTTCTATTCTTTTTAGGAGACTCACTTTCAGTTTTTCAAAAAAATCTGCAGAGATATTTTTCCACACCTCCAAAGTTCAGTCTTAGAAGTTGGTTGTAATCATGTTTACAGCCCATTGGTGGTCAGCAACAACATTTTCATCAAAATCTTTTCAAGTTAGGCCTGGTCATCAATTTTTTTCTTTCTATTGTTTGTAATATTTGTCTTAGTTTATTTTCTAAAATAAAAGGCATTTAAAATCTATTTGAGTAGATTAAAAACTAGTTAGACCTTGGATGCAGGACAGTAATCTAGGTGGTCAGAGGGTGGACCAGCAGTGACATACAGTCATCAGTAGGGTGCTGACCTTATCAAGCCAGTGGAGCCATAAATTTGTTTGTTTTTTTTTCTCTTTCAGATCTAAAGCCAGAATGGAGCTTGACTTTCTATACTTTTGTACGGACGGCATAGTTAATTACAAGCCCTGCTGAAAAAAGACCATTGGGACCATTGGGATTAGTATTAAAACCTGATGGCTTTGCTTTCTAATGGGACTTGGCTTAATGGTTACCATTAGAGACCACTAGTTTCCTGAAAGACACGTTCAGATCCCATACGGAAACCATCAAATGTATCTGGAATCAGTCCCAGAACACCTGTTAAACCATTAGAGTCCTTTACGTTTACATGCAGCCTGATAATCCGTTAATAATCCGACTAATAGCTCAATCGGAATAGAACACGTCCATGTAAACACCTCAATCGGAATAGACTAGTCCGATTGAGGCCATTCGGAATACAATTTCTATCCGATTGAACGAGGTGGATAAACTTCTAAATAATCCGTTAAACAGAAGAATAATAGCCATGTAAACACCTGAATCCGATTACATTCCAATCGGAACGTGTAAGTATGTTCTGCGCATGGGCGTCGCGTCATGGTGAAAGTTTATACCGTTCAGCATGGCGGAGCAGAATCGGGTCTGCAGAGGAGACGAAGTTCATGCTCTGAGCTTTAAAAGACGGCGGTAGGACGGACGTCCATCTTATGAGTCTCAGAACACGACGTCTTCCTCTCGCCGCTTCCTTTATAAGCACATGTGAAGCACGTTTTCCTTAGTCTTACATCATTTTAAAGCAATTAAAACACAAGCGCGCCAACTGGAAACTCATATCACGCGGACTGGACCTCACGTGATGTTCGCTGTCATGGTAACGTTTACTCTAAACGCTACTCCACGCATGCGCGTCATTTTGCATCGGATTACTTGTTGTGAGCATGTAAACGAAGATTTTCCATCAAATCGTTGAATAGAGTGTGCATATAAACACCTCAGTCTGAATCTGTAATCGGATTGTATTCAATCGGATTGGCAAAAATCTTTGCATGTAAACATAGAATGTGATATCAACCCATTAGAAAAACACAAGACACCATTAGAGACTACTGGAGACCATATTTTTAAAACTGTTTTTTCATGCTTTTTTCAGCATTGATTTTAAGCATTATATTGATGATATAGTTGTCTGCTTTCTTTAGCTGTATTGGTTGTGCATGTGTGAAACTGCCAGAGCGACTCCAAAGTTGAATTCCTCTGTATCTGCTGGGGTGATAACAAGGTGACAAAAATGACAGAGACATATTGTGTCTTAAAATATGGGATTTATTCAGAAGCATTTGGCAATTCAAGAACCGAATGCAAAGACCTTGTACTTTGTGACCTTCACCCTAGTAAGGCAAAAGAGGAGTTATTCAACGGGATCTGGCACCCCTGCACAAAGTCAGTAACATGGATTTTCTGCTGTCCCGCTGCTCTAAACTGTCAAACGCGCTCATGAAAACCTACTCAGACTCTGCAGTTCGTCTCCGGATTCTGCCGAGCACCACCTGCATGTTTGACGAAGCTGTCGAGATAAAACTGAGCGGTTTGACTCCTCAGCAACATGTGGAGTTACAGTCCAACCTCCAGGACGACAGAGGAGTTCGTTTCAAAGCTACAGCCACATATCAGGCGGACGAGAAAGGAGAGGTTGACCTGAGCCGTCATCCCTCTCTGGGGGGAAACTACACAGGTGTTGAACCGATGGGTTTGTTTTGGTCGATGCGGCCAGACGTGCCACATAGTATAGTGGTGAAGAGAGACGCGTCGACCCCCCTTAACTATCACATCGAGGCTTCTAGTGGAGGAGAAATCCTCGCTAAGGAGACCAATGAAAGGCACTTTACGGGCCCGGGAGTCCGAAGAGCTCCTGTGAGCGATGGCAGGATACGAGGAACCCTTTTCACACCGCCTGGTCAGTTTGTTGTCAGTTTTAACTCCAGTCAGGCTCTCTTTCAGTCTCTGATACTGAACTCGGTCAAACAGCGCCTCCCCGTGGTGTAGAATAATACACTGTATGGCCACAAGTGTGTGTGGTCACTGGGGATTTGTACAGAAGTCCAGAGAGGCCATGCGCTTTTGCTATAATTTTCAATCTGCAAGTTAAATATTAGGATAAACTTTATCTTGAGATCACAAGACAATTAACTCATTATCTCAAGATAACAGCTTTTCTCGTCTAACTGGTTAATGCTGGTCTGGTGCTGGTTTTACTGGTCACCCAGCATGGTCATGCTTGTTCACTAGCATTCTCACTAGCACTTAAAAATGATGGTTCTTCAAGAGTTCTTTAGTAAAGAGAATGGTTTGCATGATTAAATGGTTCTTTGAATCATGAAAATGTTCTTCAAATTGATGGAGATTGTGTTGAATATGGTTTCATATATAACCTTTTTGAAAAGCGTTCTTTATAGCACTGAAAAGGGTTCTTCTATTATTACAAGCGTCACATCAACAACAACAATAGAAGTAACAGTAGAAGAACACTTTTTGTTGTTATATAGAACCCTTTTCAAAAAGGTTCTTTATAGAACCATCTTCAGCATGTTCTCCATTAATCTAAAGAACCATTTAGCTTTGCAAAGAACTCTTTAATCAGGCAAAGGGTTCTTTGGGTGTTAATGGTTCTATATAGAACCATTTCTTTACTAAAGAACCCTTGAAGAACCATCTTTTTTAAGAGTGCTTCCTTTTTTTTCTAGCAGGGAGATGTTGTTGTGGAGGTGTTTATGTAGTAGTGGGTTGTATTGCCAAAATTATATATCATGGTAAAATTATACGGTATAATTTTAGATGGTTTCAGTATTTATTACAGTATACCAAAAAAATAAATAAATAAATAAAATATTAGATTCCTAAAACCTCTTTTTGTTGTGCCTTAATATTCTGGAATGTGCCTTCACTTTTTAATTAAGAACTGTTTTAACAATCAAAGTAAATCTGAAATATTTTTATTGTGCAAAATAGTAAAACTGAAACTCGACAATATATAGATAAACATATGTCAGTTGCTTTCTAACACTAGTAACACAGTTACTTTTTGTGGACCTGGCAAAAAGTGCTAAAGTTGGCTTCTTATTTGGTAGCTTTTTATTAGAATTTTCTGTTCCACCTTAAATGGGGCAGAATTTACATTCTGGCAACTGTACAGGGGCCTGGATGTAACTGCTGCTCCATTTATGTTGGAATGGGAAATTCTAATAAGAAGCCGACTTCATGATTGACTCAGTTGAACAGGCTGTTCAAGTTTTCACTGATTTTAATTGTCATGTGCTAGCTTTGTTACCTTTTTAATAAATATATTCAAATTCACAAAACGTCAGGCGCAGATCTACTTATGTCTTTTGAGGTTTCACCCAGAGTTGTTGGTTGAGCTTATTTTTTTCAGTCAAACGTCATGTACAAACACATTTATTTGTTACAGACAGAACGTTGCAAGACCACTTTGTTTAACTGTAAAAAAGGTGTAGAGAAAATAGCAATGAAACATTAAATACATAAAAATGATTAAATAAAAAAATGAAATAGCTCAGTGAGGGTCCTCTTCAGTTAACAGTAATTGGTCCAATAGTTAATCTAACAGTGAACTGTAATGCCCATCACTACTAGTAAACACTGGTCATTTAATTCCTATATTTGTATCTATCTGTTGTGACGTGTATATAATTGGAAATGCTGCTAATTCAATAATATAAAATGGAGTAGGAAATATTGTAATGATGTGTAATATTGTGATGTGTAATATTGCATTATAACAATGTAGTAAGTATTATATTTTCTCTTTTACAGGAGAAGGCCCGTTCCCTGGAATTATAGATCTATATACTTTGGGAGGCGGTATGTGTGAGCCGCGAGCAGCTCTACTGGCAAGTAAAGGGTTTGAGGTGCTGGCCTTGGCTTACTATGGTTACCAGGACTTGCCCAAAAAAGTTAAGAAGTTTGATCTGGAGTACTTTGAAGAAGCTATAACATTCCTGCAAAGGCTACCTAAGGTCAGTGGAGTTAGACATTTCTGTAAATTTAACAGAAAATCTCATAAATCAAAAGTAAGTGAAACCATAAAAATAGTCTATGACAAATAATAAATGGTTAAATATTTAACGTTCATTGATATGACCAAAAAACTAACATAGAAGCATCCAAAAACTTTACGCAGTTGTGTAAAAGTTGTGCTGGTCAGCAGCATTGTAAGTTAATATGCTGGTCACCAGCAAAATGTATATGTTGTGTTGTGGATGCTGGTATGCTGGTCTTCCAGCATGACCTAACTATGCATTAACCAGCATAGTTTTCAAGCAGGGCAGTGGAGCTGGCTATCTTAGCTTATTGTAGCTCAACACACCACAGATTACAATACTGACTTTTTCCCATACAAGTGTCAGTCACTCAACTTCAGTCACTCAGATTTAAGTACTTTATCCTCTACACTTGTTTCAGTGACGCATCAGTGAGCCAGAACTGATACTGTTTTAAACCTGTGTTATACTGTAAGCCTGCTTGCTAAGCTAACACCTCTAGTGCTAATGAGAACAGATGTTAACTTTGTCTACTAAACTTTTGTTAGTGGAACATTTAGCTAGAAATCAAACCTATGATTGCTATCTTATAGCTTATGATGCTAGCTTATCTTAACAGCTCTACACTGCATTTGACAGCTTGTTAGATAGGTGTGGAATATAAATTTGACACCAGCATGATTATGAATGCTTTTGTGTTTTATATATTTTTGCTAATCATTAAACAATCCAAACATCTAAGCATTAGACTATATTAGGCATGTTGTGTAGCTATTTCTGTTGCCATGTAATATTCTCATGATCAGATTTACTATGTCAAAATGTGGTGTGTTCAAGATTATTCATGATGTACAAAATGTAGATAGGTAGCAACCCACAGATTTTTATGGAAGTACTGTTTAATGGAAATGTAAACTTTGTGCTATTGCAACACAATAATTGACATTAATACCAATTTATATAATTTTAATATGCCATCCAGAACCAGAACCATGATTTTGAGTGCAGGGGATCTTTAATATGTAGAAATCTAAAGAATAGGACAAGGATATGTGTTTTTTATTTCCCTCACAGGTACAAAGAAATGGAATAGGCATACTGTCAATCTCAAAGGGTGCAGAACTAGCTCTATCAATGGCATCATTCCTGCCTAACATTAGAGCCACGGTCTGTATCAATGGCTGCAATGCCAACGTTTTGTTCCCGCTCCACTACAAAGACATGGTCATCCCACCTCTTACATTTAGTGCTAAAAACCTAGATACAACTAAACCAGGTATCCTGGATGTCAGAGATGTTCTAGATGATCCCATGGTAAAGGAGAACTTTGCCACTGTCATGATTGAACGTGCCAGCTGCAGATTCCTGTTCATAGTGTCAGAAGATGACAGGAACTGGAACAGTGCCTATTATGCAGAGCAAGCTTGCAACATCCTCAAGGAACATGGAAAAACAAACTATGAAGTGGTGAGCTATCCAAAAGCAGGGCACTTTTTGGAAGTTCCTTACATGCCCCATCATCCATCTGGAGTCCACCCTGCTGTGGGTAAAGTGGTTGCTTTTGGTGGAGAAATGAAAGTCCATGCAGCTGCACAGGTTGATATGTGGAGAAGAGTGCAGGAATATTTCAGAAAACACTTATGGGGTCTCAGTGGTCCTCCAAAATCTTCACTTTAGCCAGGGCAGCAGCTGAGGAAAGAGGAAGCTTGCAGAAAAAAACCTGATTTCCTTAAAAGTGTAGGAGTTAAAATTTCCGACCTGCAGTTTTAGGGGTTAAATAGGTGAACTATAGCAACACTGGAATGATTTTTTACCCTTTGGATCTGCCTTCTATTTCTGCACATCAGCACAAAGCACGACCGTAGAATCAGCAGTGCTTAACAGAGGTAATTTAGAGTTTGCCAACATTACCAAGCACTGTCTAGACTTCACTTTATACCAGTGAGGTAGGCTATTTATTAAGGGTGTTGCTTGACTTTGTATTTTGATATGGATAAAAAGTAGCACAAAGATGCTAACAGTGCCTTAGAGGAGATCAAAATACTCAATATAGCCTACTTCTCAGTAGAGCACATTAAATGTGGTTCATTTCATATCTGAAACAATTTCACAAGATAGCTTAAGGATATAATCATCAAGAGAGGGCTACAATACTGTCCCCCCTACAAAATAGTTATTCTATTTGGTAAATCATAATGACATACCATTATATTTCACTTGTTCAGAGAGACTTTTTGTCTAATCATGCTATCCACATACTCTCCGAATACTTCTTTGTGCAGCATTGGTGTTTGGCCAGAGCAAGCTCCCGTGTCTCTTTTGTCCTGGGAAATAGCAAGGTTACAAGCCTACATGCACTTGGTATTCCGTTGATATCAACTTGCTGCTTGAGAACAATCAAGAGTGTCTTTGCTGCCCTATTTTTAAGTAATTAGGACAGAATGGAAAGTTTGATTAAGAAGCCAACATTATCCTATATTATGTAAAGTTTAAACTGTTTAAACTGTTAATTTAAACTCTTTATACGTATCGAGTACCACATGCCTGTCCTGGAGGAACGCTGCTAATTCTGCGTCCAACTTTAAACAATCCGTATGTAATAACTCCATCTTTGAAAAGACATTCCAGTGTTGATTCTTGTTGTAGAATGTTTCTTGTCATTATGTTTTATGGCAGCACAGCATACGGCACAGTACTAGAACCTGCTAGCAAAGATCGCTAACCAGATTCTGCCATGTTTTCTTAGCCGGATGGACAGAGATGGGGGAGGAGTTATGTAATGTGTGGGAGGGTCTTATAATATGACTGACCAGATGTCACAGTAAATTCAGACAAGCCCTCTGCTCCACCTTTCACTTACTAAACGAGTCTTTTCAGGCACATAATACACTTGTGCTGATGCCATAGCTAAAATAACTATTTTACACATTGAAAAATAGACTAATGCACCTTTATTAGCACACATTTAGCAAACATCCAAGCTATGCTCTTTTTTCCGCTAATTTAATGTTATTTCACAATTGATCTTCGGATAATAAACAGCATTTTCACCACAACTTGTAGCGGACAGTAATAGACAGTAACCTGGAAAAGTATCTCTAACAGCTGCTTTGAATGCTATTAAGTTTAGCTATAGCAGCAAGTATATGCAGGACTAAAAGGCTGTAGTTTGTAACCATCAATATCTTATGGTATTATTACAGCAGTGATGAGCAATGACTTCTTTAAAACTATGACTGGCTTTCAGCAGTCAAATCAAGGTCTGATTTGATTGGCCAAGTCTGACGCTGTGCTTTTCCCCAGCGTCCACCCGCAGAAGATTGCCACGTCAGATTGCCCGGTTTAAGGGAAGTCTTTGACACTTCCTTTATCACCTGTTAAATCAAAAACATGGTGTCCAAAACAGTGCCCTATTCACTTTATAGTGCCCTTTTTTGAGATTCAGCCATTTTGTATTGGTGTCTGAAAACAATGTGCAGAAGATCCAGTACACTCACACAATCCCACAGTGCACTGCAATAAGTAGTGTACACCAGATGTATCATGGAGTACAGGGGATACCCTTATAGTGGTCTGGTGGGATGAAGTTTATAATGTTTAGGCGAAAGATTGACATAGTGTCTGAAATTCTTTACTACTTTCTGTTCACTATAGTGGTGTTTTATACAGTGATCCATGGTTTTCAGTGAGGGGGTAAGTGATTTGGGGACCATTTCAAACACTTGTCTGTAAACGCCAGAGGGCGTCCGTGAGCAATCCTAAATTATTAAGGGTCAATGGAGCTAAACGGCTTAAAAAAAGCTCAGTCATTTTTAACCATTTATCCAGGATCTTCCCTTAGCTTTGGAAAGTAGAAAGATGTATTTCGCTAAAAAAGCAAAAAAATAAAGCACACCTGTATAGTTCATTTCCACAGCAAACAGGCTTTGGACAGGAGGATGTTAGCATTACTGCTACTGAGTGCTGATTGGTTAACATTACTGCTACTAAACGCTGAATGGCTGTTCAGCTCACTGGCTGAGTGAAGCGGTTCACGCTCACTGATGTCTTGACCATGAATGAGACACTGTTATAAAGTCCTACTTGGAATTCAGAAGCGCTTAAAAATAAAACAGCAATGTTAAAATGTTTTGTGCTGCTCTGTGTTCAGGATATGAATATATTCTTCTGCATAAAAACGTTTAAGCATTTACAAACTATGATTTTGCTCACATGTTATCTCTGCTGCTTCTCCTCCTGGGTCGCTGGAGCCTATCCCAGCACCCTCTGGGCAGAAGGCAGGAAACACCCTGGACAGGCCACCAGTAATCAGACATACACATTCACACCTAGGGTGATTAAGCATCTCCAGTTCGCCTGGCTGCATGTCTTTGGACTGTGGGAGGAAACCCATGCACACAGAGAACATGCATACTCTACACAGAATGGACCCTGGTTGCCTGGCTGGGGAATTGAACCCAGGCCCTTCTTGCTGTTAGATGACAATGCTACTTTGGACTCTTGGGTGCACAATCTAGTGTTTCAAAAACCAGGAAGACATTACTGGGTGGCAGTTCTCCTCTCTATACATTCTCTGGCCATGTCCCCTTATATTAGAGAATCTGTGTGTGAACCTAAGAGGGATGTGTTTGTCAGGGGAAGTAGTTAGCATTTAGCATGCTAAATAAAAGTGTTGCTTGTTTTTACAAACAGCTTTTAGAGTAAAACATTCTAGAATTAACCTCTTCCTCTCTAAATCTATACTATTTGGGTGATTTATATTGACTTGTTCGTCACAGTTAACTTGGCATATACAGAACAATATGACAAAATACCCTCATGTCCAAGAAAGAGGACAGAGACTAATGAAAAAAGTAATTAAGGGTGCCTTTGCAAAAAAAAAACAAAAGCTATATCCAGTAAATATAGCTGATATGTGAATATCTATGAATGATCTGAATATATAATCGCTGTGCTCACTGTATTTAGTTTCTGCCATTAAATGCTATTATCCATTAAATCTTACAGTATTCTGATGGAATAAATGATTGATTTCAAGTCTGATTGAATTGTTTCAGAGTTAACCAGTGTATCACAATTTTGCAACTTTAACTGAAGGGTTTATTTTCATCAAATGCTACCTAGAGGTGCAGAGGCCTGTTCTGAGCATGAGACCTGTTCTAGCACAGAAGGAATTTAGACAACCGCTGAGGAATTTCTAGAGTTTGTGAGAGGTTTACGATGTAGACCTGTTTCAGAAATGATTAGCATTTTCTTACTGAAGGTGAATAACTCTTTGGAGATGTACTGTATTTGAATGTATTTTATTGTTCTCAGTCTAACACATAAACAGTTTGCTTTGTAATGCAGTTATGACAATCCAGAGTCATGTTTTCCATAATGTGGCACTGATGTTACTGCATTTGACACAGACAGTCGGGCTGCTGCAAGATGAGCGTGTCACTGAATATCCATTTCTTTAATGCCCGAGTCTGAAGAGCTACTTTTATTGGCTGTAGTTGACAGGATATTATGCAAATGATGATTGCAATCAGTGACAACATAGTGCTAGCTTGCTAAGCTAAGCAAATTGCTTGAAATGTACACTGTAAAAAAAGGGCTTTTTTTGGAAATGGGGTTGTATTTTAATCAAAGAATCTGTTTGACATGATAAAAAACAGTTTCTCATCACATGAGGTCATTTTTTAGGTTGAATGAAAAAAAATGCAGTGCAGTTGAAAACAATGTTGCTAAAGTACATATGATTTGTAGAAAAATGAGATGTTTCGGATGTAAGACCTGAAAAGTGTAAAATGAGCTTTGATCATAACCGTCACCGAAATGGCTCTGATTTAAACCACAAAGTGTTGTAGTCGAAACCATCAGCATCAAGACCGAGACTAAAGTAGCCTAAAGGAGTCCAAGTCAAGACAGCAGATCAGATTAACTTTGTTTTTCAAAACATTAAAAAAAATTTGTAGTTTATTTTACATTCATTATACATGAGATATAGCATATTAATAAATAATAACACTGACCTAAGCAGTCTTGGGTGAATTCTGCACACTAACCTTTGAGAGTGAATGATGGTAAAGTTATAAGGTATTAAGACAGTGTCTGTTGAGACAAAGACATGTCCAACACTAATAATTAGTGGTCTCAAGGCTGGACTGGAGTTCAGGGTTCACTCAGAAAGCTTGTCCTTGCACAGCATTGTGAATTTGCCTCACTGATTAAGCGTTGGCTTGGTCAAAATAAGATTAATATGAATAGGCAGCCTGTTTAACATAGTCTGTCTAAGAAGTGGGTCAGATTTTATGTCTCACTTACTTAAAATGCTGCCTATGAAGGCAGCTCGCTTAGACACAGCCTCAATCTAAAGTGGCTTAACAGTGAAATCTATCTATCTATCCACCCCTCCATCCATCTATCTATCTATCTATCTATCTATCTATCCACCCCTCCATCCATCCATCTATCTATCAATCTATCTATCTATCTATTTTAGTACGTTTCTCTTCATAATGGTACATTGGGAGTATGGTACAGAGGGAGTAAATATGGTAAGTATGGTCAGAGTTGTTGTGAGGAGGCGTGTCTGTCCCAGCAGTGCCCTAAAGGCGCTGAGAGAGAGAGAGAGAGAGAGAGAGAGAGAGAGAGAGAGAGAGAGAGAATAGAGGGAGAGAGAGAGAGAGAGAGAGAGAGAGAGAGAGAGAGAGAGAGAGAGAGAGAGAGAATAGAGGGAGAGAGAGAGAGAGAGAGAGAGAGAGAGAGAGAGAGAGAGAGAGAGAGAGAGAGAGAGAGAGAGAGAGAGCTCTGTTGGTTTTGATAAAACAGTCACCTTTCTATTGGATGCTGGTCCCTGAGTCGCGGTGACTGAGAGGTAGGATTTTACATTTCCAGGCCCCGCAGTTGACAGTGGTGTGTGCTTTGCAGAGATAAAACATGTGAGCGGTTAACAGTCCTCCTCAGGAACCAGGCGCTGTGCAGCCAGATGCTCGTGGTTAAAACGCTGTAAAAACGCGGTGCTCGCCTTTCAGCCCGGGTTATGTAGCCAGCCTACATCCAGGCTCCAGTGCTCCGTCTCTGTGTGAGGCTGACTGCAGGCTGGGCTTGGAATGCACGTCGCCTTTATTGTCCAGGACTGGAAGCTGACTGAGCCCCAGACCAGCTAAGGTGATCCACTGCATCTCCACCGGCAGCAGCTACCAGAACCAGAGCATGCCCTGACCTCGGGATGCGTCCGCCGTGTGCGGGAACAGACGGGCTCCTGTTGCCGCTGCGGTGGCGGAACGGCAAGCAGACGGACCTGCAACACGCCGCCGACATCTGGTGCGCGTGAGTGATCCTCGCGCTCTCGCCTTTTTTCTCCGTCATGCTCGTGCATTGCCTGAGCTGCAGAGACCTCTGCGCGTTGTCCGCCAGTAGCCGGCTCCTCCGTGCAGCTGTAGACCGGGAATGAACCATCATGGACGCAGGGAAGGAAGACTGGCTCTCTCTCACGGAGAACGGGACTGCTAACTGGACCGCCTCGAGCCTCTACCTCGGCGTCCAGAACTCCACATCTGGCCTGGGCGCGTGGAGGGACGAGCGGCTGCGGGAGTTCAGCCATCCCGGGAAGGTGCTCCACGCTCGGGAGGAAGCGTACCGAGACTTCGCCACCACTGTTCAAGTTTTCATCCTGCTCGGGTCTCTGCTAGGTGGGTTTAGAAAGGATGAGTAATAGCGCAGTGATTGTTTCTGAGCATGCTGCATGGTTTGCTTCGCCCAGTGTGAGCTGACCCATACGGAAATCTGATATTCGACCATACATGCACATAGATCATAAATATAAAATATATGTACCTATATATTGTGTGAATATATATTATAAGGTAAACTAAGATATGCATAAAAACCTCATGTTATATAACATGAAGCTAACACATATGAGTAATATATGCCATCTATAAATAAATCTTTTATATTTTGTTAAATTTATATTATATATGTTATATATGTATATATGTTTATGTGTGTTGATGTATGTTAGAAATTGCATATTTATATATATAACATAAATGTCCATATGTGACAGTTGATACAGGGGAAATCCACATATGCTCATATGTCATATATCAGATTTTTGTATGAGGATGTAGATGGAAGATTTAAGTGTTGTGTGGATTTAAAAGGATATTTCTGTTTTTTTACCTAGCACTATTCTGTTCCATCTCTAGTATACAAAAAAATCCCCTGTACTTAGAAAAGAACTCACATATATACATCAGGTACTCATAAAACCTGTTTACTCAAAATGCATTTATAATAGAAGCCAGTGGACAGATGTTCCAGCATCTTTTATGGGTGTGTTTTAAATCTTTTACTAAATACAGGCAAAATGTTTGTATGTTCTAAATGCTGCAGATAGAGATTCTGTTGAAAAACATTGTTGTGTTCCTTTAATTTAATATTTCCATTCTGTCAAATAGAGTCAGTATGTCATCACTGTCCAAAAACACAAAACAAACATCTTCATTTTTTCCGATTTTCATTTTTCTACATGATTTGAGCACTGCAGCTGCCCTTCACATTGTGGAAAAATTTCATGATGAATGGACCAATAGTATTGGGATAAAATCTATTTACATTAACATTATTTAAAGTGAATAACGTTATGGCCATCTCCTGTAAAGTTGCCATTTTGCAGGTACTTGCTTTGGACATCGACAGTATACAGATATTTGTTACCTTGACATAAAATACAGTTGCAGTTAATGTTGACACATTTCAAGTTTGTAAGTCAGAGAACCTCCTTGGTTCATTTTTTTCAGTGTGAACTGAATTCAAGTGAGAAATAAACAAGATGTGTGAAACAAGGGACTAATTAGACATAAACGTGCCAAATATCATGGGTTTCTTAACCACCTCACAGTTGTAAAGCTAGCAGTCATGCACACAGGCACATTTGTTTATGCACAGACTGAATTAAGTTGATTTAATTCCTGAAGTGGTTCTTTTTCATATTTAAAACACCATAAAATGAGAAACAAATATAAGAACTTGAACCCCTTTAACTTTTTGCTTTGTTAAGATTAAAGATTTTGGTAGAATTCAGAGATTAACTGCACTCAGCCTATTGGCAACTCTACATACAACAAATTTAGTGCATGATAAATTTTGAAAAGGTACAAATTAAGAACCCACATACATGCTGATTTACAAGACCACATTTATTCTCCACATACATACACATGTAGTACACATCTGATCTCATGATGCACGTTCAATAAACATAGAATACATTACATTTACGCATGTTAATATTCATTTTTCACAATACAGTGTTTATGATACAATATGTGCTGTGAATAGAATACAGTTGGATTTTATGCCATAAAAAATCCACAATTCCATTAAAACACTCAGATATTCCTAAATCACTTAAATAATGTAACTGACTTTAAATATGACACCATCATTGGATGCCACCTTTGCCACAAGTCAGTTTGTGAATTTTTTACCCTGCTAGATCTGCCCTGTCAACTGTAAGTGCTATTATTGTGAAATGGAAGCAACAACAGTTCAGCCACATAGCAGTAGACCCACAAACTCACAGAGCAGGGCTGCCAACACATAAAAATCACCTTTCTGCATTGCTTCAGTCACTACACAGTTCCAAAGTGCCTCTGGAAGCAACATGAGCAAAAGAACTGTGTGTCTGAAGCTGCATGAAATGGGTGCCACAAGCCTGAGATCTCTATGTGAAAAGCATTGATTGAAGTGGTGTAAAACACAACACTACTGGACTCACGCTTCAGTGTCTAGCAGTCTGATGGACAGATCTGGGTTAGGGGGATGCCAGGAGAACACTACCTTCCAGAATGCATGAAGCCAACAGTAAAGTTTGGTGGAGGAGGGATAATGGTCTGGGGCCGTTTTTCAGACTTTGGGTCCCTTAGTTTCATTGAGGATGATGTTAATGCTACAGCATGCAGAAACATTTTAGACGATTACTCCCAACTTTGTGGCAACATGTTCCAGCATGACTGTGTCCCTGTGCACAAAGCAAGATCCATAAAGAGATGTTTTGAGGAGTTTGGCATGGAGGAACTCCAGTCATCTGCACAGAGCACTTTTGGGATAAATGTGAACGTCAATTGTGAGCCAGGCCTTCTCGTCCAACATCAGTGCCTGAACTCACAAATGCTCTTTTGACCGAATTGGCACGAATCCCCACATTCACACCCCAAAATCTTGTGGAAAGCTTCCCAGAAGAGTGGAGGTTTATAACCGCAAAAGGGAGCAACTCCATATTAATGCCCATGGTTTTGGAATGGGACCAAGCTTATACAGGTGTGATGGTCTGGTTGGCAATATTTTGCAGTCTTTTTTTGGCAATTGAACACTGACCAAAAATAGAAACTAATTGACCACTGACATTTTTTAAACTTCAGTGCATGTATCATCTAATGTGCAAAAACCCCAGTACATATTGTATTATGGCATTTATGTGTCATTACACCCTGACAGTACACACGTACAGAACTGTGCAAAAGTCAGAGACAACCATACATTTATTTAATTTCCAGTCAAAGATGTTTTTGAAGGGATATAAGAAAATCCACATACTGTTTTTATAACCGGAGTTCAGATTATAGAGAAAAAGGAACTTCTAACAATGGTGCAAGACCTGGTAGACCACCAAAACTATCCCCATCAGATAAACAGCACTTAAAGCTTTTATGTTTTAGAGAGAAGCTCCACTCTTACTTCACATCTGAAAAAATCCACTGTAAAAAGATCAACTCAACGCTCTGGGTCTGAAAGGATGTGTAGCAGTCAAGGAGCTCTTACTGATAAAAAGAAATAGACAAAGAAAAGGAAAATTTGCAAATCAAACAAAGTAGCTGCTGGTGTTCTCAGAGCTATGAACTGACCACCACAGAGTCCAGATCAGCAAAGGGCCTGCGTAATAATAAGAATGAAAAGTTTGCATCTTCAGAAAAAGTGCCAGCAGTTACATAAACATAAGAGACCAGTTTCCCAGACCCAGATAAAGCCTGAGCCTGGACTGAAAAAAAATTTGGAATAGTGAATCACTATTGGCATTGCTAATTAGTCCAAGACTAAGCTTAATCCTTGTCCATAAAACCAGCCCTTAAAGCATCCATATCATGAAAACAAAAAAGTCTAGATTTTCCTTCCTTTTTAAAATGATGTAGTATGTAAACACTGTTTCACAATGTACGGTTCACTCCAAAATCTGTACAGTCCATATATAGAAACTAAGGTGGAAAAACAGCCTGTTTTAAATTCACAATTTTTGTGATGTCATAAAAACCAACACATCTACATATTTTCACCTATTCAGCCTACAGCAGTTTAGTTCTGCCCATTCACACTGAATGTTTCCGCCTGGATTGCTTTTTGAATGGGGTACAATACAAGGCAACCAATTAGAACAGAGCTCATTTACATATATTAATATTAAAGGAACAGTAACAAAACTGTTTATTTCTAAGAGATGAAGAGAGGTTAGAAAATGGTCAGGTAAAAATTAATTGTGACTGGTTTTGGTACATAAAACTACACAAATTCACACAAGCAACTACCCAAACTCACCTCAGCTGCCCTCAGACTTCTTTCTCATGTGCATCTAAAATGACTAAAGGAGATATTTCTGAGATTAGATATAAGATAGTCAACATGAATGAAAAACAAAGGAAAATAAGTGAAAAAGCAGGAGTTTCCACACACCTAGTTTTACTATATTTTGCTAAAGCAGTAAATAAGGATGTAATAAGTTAGTATTGTGATGATGAACATTTGCTTAAACATCACCCTGTCAAATCGGGCCTGTTTTCTGAGGACCTTTTTTAGTGTAAAGAAGGCTTTTGGAAAATAATGATGACTGAGATGAGGTAGCCAGAGTGATTACACATATAATACAGAAGTCACATCTGCCATGGTCACAATCTTTTGTTGACAACAAGCCATTAAACAGTTCATAGTGATCTTCACTGCCACAGGAAGGCTAGAGAACACAGGAGCATGCTGAATGACTAGGCATAAAGCTTGTGTTGAGCTGGAAACTGTTGATACAGTTCCCTGCTGACAATCAATGCTGTACCTTCAGTATTGATCCGGTTGTAGGCAATTACTGAAGGTTTGTTCTTCTGCATGTTTCCCCTCAGCCTTAATCCAGTACCAGATGGTGAGTGTTTATTTGAAAGCTGGTTTATGAGGATTTTCACACACATACTTACTAGCATTTGTATCCTTGTTAAAAAGCCTCTGGTGTAAAGCCTGGTCGTATAACCGTATTTCTGAAGTTGTTGACGTCAGCTGTGGCACGAACTGGGCATCACATGCCAGATTAGCCAGTCAAGCTTTGTGTGGTGTGTTTATGAATAATCTGTTGATCTGTTTTAGTGCTGGATTAATGCCCTGTCCAAAAAAAGCATTTTCTGTTTTGTTTTACGTGGTTTGACTGACATTGTGGCGCTTATGCAAAAGTATTATACAATGCTCTTTTGTCGGCAGATCAGTCATCAGTGCTTGAAACAAAAGACTGGAAGATTTTATGATTTGCTATGAAACAGCTCCCTCTATTTCTTTTATCAGCACTAATAAAAAATAAAGTTCAGGTCTTAAACTTTCCAACATTTTAGACATTACAGTTTTTATTTGAGGTGTTTTATTTAAAAAAAATAATGAT